AGACCCACTGCATAGTGGTGGGTGTCAGAGTTGAGGAGTGTGTCCCAACCATGCTTCCGTTCCATTGCCATCACAATATTTTCAAACTGCAGACGGCAGAGCAGGGTCTTCATAGTCAGCACTGCAAACCTGTGTGCAGAGCAAAGCCCAGGTCATGCTGGGAGCCCTGACCAGCCCTGAGGGCATGGGAGGGAGGGGAGGAGTGGGATGGAGCACCTGTTGGGGTTCCTGGCAAGGCGGTGTTCCTCCCAGCATCTCCTCCAGAAGGTGTCAACCTCTTCTGGCATCTGCTCTGTGCTGATGAAGACTTGGAAGAGCAGATCCACAAGGAGACGGGGGGAATGTTCCATCAATGGCTCTGGGCACTGGATCATCTGGAGAATTTCCCAAACCACTCTGGTTGCCTGCAAAAGACAAACCGTCCGGCCACAGCGCTCAGTGCCCAGACATCCATGTGGCAGGGCCTAAGCGTGGGAGGGAGAGGCCAGGGGAGACTCAGGGGGAGCCCCTGGCCTGGTGCCCCTGAACCTGCCCCTAGTCCAGGTTTCCAGCCTGGTGCCTGAGGCAGGGAGATACCGTGGTGGGGGAGGATAGAGGGCTGTTGGAGAGGCAACCTGGGGTTGAGCAAAGGCAGAAACTCACAGCCAGGGCAAAGATGTCCTTGTTGTCCTCATTGGAGGTGGACACGCTGTGCTGTGGCCAGTCCTCCATCACAGAGAGCAGTGTTGGCAGCACCCTCACCACTGTTGTTTCAGACAAGGCTATGGTCCTCCACATGATAGCAGCAGCTCTGCGGGGCCAGATCTCTGTGTCAGGGGAGTCTGAGCCACTGTGCCGTGACCTGGGCAGCTGCAGGAGCCCATGTGACAGAGCCCAGGTGCCTTGAGGAGCAGGGAGGGAGCATGGCAGCAGGACTGGGGGCTGAGATGCCAGGGCTGGGAAACATAAGGGCCAAAGTATCCTGGAACTCTCTGTCTGTCTGGCAGAGCATGTGGGACAGGTCTAAAGGCTGGTGAGCCCTGAAGGCAGATGGGCCCCATACCTGTCACATGATGGGGAACAGCGCAGGAGGGTCAATGCGACATCAGCGGGGTATGTATCAGTCAGCCTCAGTATGTCCATGAACAGTCTGTTCTCTGGGAACGTGTTGGCTGTGAGTCTCTGATGCATGTTCTTCATGAAGGCCTGCACCTGGAGAGGGCACGGGGGGAGAGTTGGAGAGCTGCCAGAGTGAGCAGCTTGCCCAGCTTCTCCCAAGAAGCGCTTCCCTTCCCACCACACTGTGCCGACCTCAAAGGCTGAGGGGGCCCAGCAGACCCAGCTTGAGTGTCCACACGATCCTTTGCCTCAGGCTGCTTACTTTTGCAGAGACAACTCTCTCCTCAGAAGAGTCTAGACCAGGAGCATCAGCCAGACTCTGAGTGGGTGTGCTGTCAGTGTTTGCCATGCGCTCAGTTGGCCTGATGCTGACATCAGCCTTCGCCGTGCCTCTGAAGTCCCTAAACATCTGCAGAAGAAAGCAAGGCAAGGAAGAGAGGGATGTTCGATCGAGTGCTCCGATGGTGGTGTCTGCTGAGCAGGTGGGGATGGCTGATGGTACCTGGCCTATAAAGCGCCAGCAGCCACGGGCACGGTCCTGCTCTTCTGTCCTATCTCGGCCTGGATCTGGCAAAGAGCGAGCGTGGTCAGAGCTGAGGGGCTGCGGGACAGGCCGGAGAACACGGCCCAGCCCTGCGCTCCCCAGGCAGGGCCAGCCCCGGGATGCCCAGGGCATGGAGCATGGCCACTGGGGGATCAGCCCTGGCCCCTCTTCCCCCCTCCCTTTCCCTGGCCATGTCCACGGGGGATGGCAAGAGGCCCATCTGGCTGCAGCCACCAGCCCTGGGGCCCAGCTCTGCCACTCACCCTCCTGCAGAGGCTGGGACTGCTGCACCTCTTTAGGCTGCTGTACTGGAGCAGCCCCAGGGCCCTCCTTCTTCCTCCCGCACAGGCTTAGGCTTCTCTCTGCCATCCCACAGTCGGGCCTTGAGGGCACCTGCAAGAGAGATGCCTCAGGGAAGATGTGGGTCACCAAGTGCCGTGGACTGGCCGCAAGGGCACTTGAAAAGCTCCTGGTCACCAGGTCCCATAGTCTGGACTGAAGGGGAAATGGAGGAGAGTGGGAGAACTGCCAGAGCAAACAAATTGCCAGACTTCCCCCAGAAATGCTCCCCTTCCCACCACACTGTGCTGGCCTCAAAGGCTGAAGAGGGTGCAGGGGAGGTGGCTTGAGCCCTGGACACAGGCTACTTACTTGCTTTGAGCTGGAGACACCATTCTCCTCAAAAAAATCCCAGTTGGGAGAATCAATCATTCTGTCACTGGGTGTAGGGTCAGTGTCTGTGATGCCTTCAGTTGTTGCAGCTTCGGCCTCCGCAGTGAGATCAGGCAGTGCAGTGTCAGAGTTTGTCAGATCATCGGTCATGTCAGAGACTGCCATGCGATCAACCGATGGGCTGTAAGTGTCTGTTGTATCATCAGTCAAAGAAGTGTCAAACTCCATTCTCTGATCAATCGGTGTGGTGTCAGAGTTTCTTGTGTGATCATTCAACACGGGGTCGGACTTCGTTGTGCGATCAGTTGGTGCAGTGCCGACATCAGACTTTGCCATCAGCTTGGTCAGCCTGGTGTCAGGCTGTGCCATGACCTCAGTTGGTGAGGTCCTGGTCTTTCTACGCTGAATGCCCACGAATTTCAGAAAGGCCTGCAGGAGAACGAACGGCAGGGAAGAAAAGGATGTGCCATAGAGCTCTGACAGCGGTTCCAGGCTGAGCAGTGGCAGCAGGCCCAGCCCAGGAGGTCGTGGCTGCAGGTACCTGATCAGATCTGCGGAAGCGACCACGGCCACGGTCCTGCTCCTGTGTCCGGTCCCGGCCTGGATCTGGCAAAGAGCGAGCGCGGTCAGAGCTGAGGGGCTGCGGGACAGGCCGCAGAACACGGCCCAGCCCTGTGCTCCACAGGCAGGGCCAGCCCCGGGATGCCCGGTGCATGGAGCTGCCGGAGGATCAGCCCTGGGCCCTCCTTCCCCCTCCCTTTTCCTGGCCATGTCCACAGGGGATGGGAAGAGGCCCATCTGGCTGCAGCCACCAGCATGTGGCCCATCTTTGCCACTCACCCTCCTGCAGGGGATGCAACTGCTCCATCTTCTCAGGCTGCTGTGCAGGGGCAGCCTCAGGACCTTCCTTCTTCTTCTTCTTCCTCTTCTTCATCCGAAAGGGCCTGAGCAGGCTCAGGTGTCTTCCCGCCATCCCACAGTCTGGTCTGGAGGGCACCTGCAAGAGA